CTTTCACAAGACAAACAAAATCCTTTCCCCTCACATGAACCCCACATAGGAACAATTTGCAGTTTGCAGTTTATTGGTATTTGTATGCCGCCCACTCCCAGGGGACTCTGGGCGGCTTACAGACAAACAAGGGAATTAAAAATAAAAATAGAAATATAATCATTTTAAAAATTACACAACATACATACACTTAAAATGGGGCTGGATGCTGATCAACAGCCCCAGGCCTGCCGGAACAGCCAGGTCTTAGTGGCTTTACGGAAGGCCGGAAGAGTAGTGAGGGTCCGGATCTCTACGGAGAGATCATTCCATAGGGCCGGGGCGGCAACAGAGAAGACCCTCCCCCGGGGGGTCGCCAGCCGACATTGACCCACCGATGGTACCAGGAGAAGGCCCAATCTGTGTGATCTAATCGGTCTTTGGGAGGTAAATGGCAGGAGGCGGTCTCGCAGGTAACCAGGTCCTAAACTATGTAGGGCTTTAAAAGTAACGACTAGCACCTTGAAGCGTGTCTGGAGACCAATGGGAAGCCAGTGCAGCTCGTGGAGGATAGGTGTAACATGGTATCTAGGTACACCCATTATCGCTCGCGGGGCTGCATTCTGGACCAACTGCAGTCTACTTGTGTCTGGATGTTGTTATATCTTGCTCAAGAAATTTTCACCCAACTTGGATTTTCTTTTCTTGATCATAAACTGCAAGGATGTCCATAGGCTGTGGTAAAATGATCAAATGGATGGCCATGATAGCACATTCAAGGCTCTGCCTGATTTTTGTGTGTGTTGCATGTGTGAAACACATCCAAACCAAATGGGACTTCGATTCCACCTTTGTGGCCATTGCCTTGATTTTTTTTCCCAACACAATATGTAAACAGCCCTGACTAACTAAATCTAATTTTTTGACTAAGCTATTAGGCGCTTTACTTGATTCATATTCGAGTCCAACTAATAGAATATAGTTAATGATTTCAGAAATTTATCCATGATGTTCAAGTCAACAAATCATAATTAGCTCTCCACATAGCTAATCCAGCCATCAAACATCATTTCAGATGCATTTAATCAAAAATATTATATGCGTTAAATCTTTTGGCATGAAATAAAAGGTACCTGGCCTTCTTCAATCAATCTCTGAGGGCATTACTTGGCATACTCACTTTCTAAGCAAGCAAGCATTTCTTTGGCTCATGTTAAATTTTGTATACAAACAGAAGCAATTCATGCATGGTATATGCAACCTTGTAATGTTGTTTTCTTCAAATCTCTTTCATTATTCAGCAGATTTTCCATGTTTTACAAAAAATTACTGGTAGCATAACATGACAGGTACATTTGTTGTTAAATGCAATGTTAAAACCATTATATCTGTGTCTATAGATCTGTGTACATCTCAGCACCTCTAGCCAGACTTTTTTCTCATAGTGTCATAAGACTGAAAGCAGAGGGGGAAAGGAAATTGAAATCAGTAAATTCTCAAGGGGATGAGGGAACTCAACCCAGCTGCAGGAAGGTACTCCAAATGAAATATAGAAGATGATAATGACTTTCCACTTACATAATTTTATCAAGAAAATTATATGGGTATGGTGGAAACATTTAAACAAGCCTGGGTGCCAGAAGATGAAAACAACAAGCTGAAAGATACACCCTATAGTTACTGGGAAAGAACATCAAATTCTCATTAGTAGATCTGGAGTTGTTGACATGGTCAGACCAAAGCTGCCAAGAAAAAAACAGTGCTGGTGGAGTTATTTATTTCATAAGATCATGTAGAATTGAAACACAGAATGCAAAACAGCAAGAATTAAGAACTTACACATTGCCAAAATGGAAATGCAGCATAGAACATTTGAAACAAGTGAACATAAGTGAATCAGAACAGCGCACTTTAAATCAAGTTCATTCATTATATTCACCTCAGGGCATGTGGCTTTATGAAGGAATAGGCTGGCAACGGTACTCAAAATGTACATCAATGGATACATTCTCGGCTACAATACAATAAACAATAGAATCATGGCTATTATGGTTAGAGAGCACCAGTGAAAAATGTACATACCTTCTACTGATGCAGTGGTGATAGACACAGAGAAATTCCAGGATAAATGCTAAATAAAATATCAAAGATGAATAAAATAAGGACTATTGGTAAAGTTGGAAAAATGAAAGAAGTGGAATTACAAAATAGGAGACAGGTATATAAAGTTTTGCCAAGAAAATTCTTTACTCATAATGTCTGTTTCAAATAAAATGTGGATACCACACATGGACATCAGTGGATGAACTACATCAGAGTCAAATAGCTTACATAATGAATCACAGCATGTAAAGATTGGAAGGGACACTGGAGACCATTTAGTCCAATCTTATGCTCAGGACAGGTGTCCATTGCCAAGGCATCTCTGAATGATGGCCATCCAGCCTTTGTTTAAAATCTCTAGCAAGAGACCACCCAATGTTTCCAAGGAAATTTCTTCCTGAACAGCTCTGACTGTTAGGATTTCGTGTTTTTTTTTATGTTCCACCAGAATCTATTTCCTTGTAATTAAATCAAATTGCTTCTTGTTCTGTCTTCTAGAACAGCCCTACAGGAGAGCTTTTTATACACTTGAACCCAGCTATAATGCAATCTCCTCTTCTCCAGGCTAACATACCCCATGTCTTCAACTTTTCCTTATACATTTTTCCCTCCAGGCCCCTTGTCAGCTGTTAACGCAGCCTACGGTTACAGTTGTTTTTTTTCTTTAGCTGCCTCATACCATTGGCTCATGGTTCTTTTGTATCCCACAATAACACCCAGGTCCTTTTTGCACACATAGCTGTCCAATATAGTCCACCTCTCATTTTATACTAATAACATATTTGATTTTTCTTAAACAAACATGGAACTTTGTCCCTGGTGAAATTAATCTTACTGACTTCTGCCCATTTTTCTAGATGATCAAGAAATCGCCTGAATCTTGATACTATCCCCTAAGAAGTTTGTCCATGGTGTTATTTGTATATTTTCTATCCATCTAAGTCATTTCCAAATATGTCGAACATGGGAAAACTTAGAGTGGAGATCTGCAGTGTGTGGATACTTTACACTAGCTTGATGAAGAACACTGCTATACATTTGTTAGATATTATTCAACCAACTCTGCAATATTCTAATGCTGTGATGGAGAACCTTTGGTATGGGTACCACAGGTGGCACACA